GCCCGCGCCTCTTCCACTGGAGCTCACCGGGGCCGGGCACTGCGGTGTGTGGCAAGGCCGCAGGCGAATCTCGCCGGGGCCAGGCATGGCGGCACGCGACGAGGCCATGAGCGGAGGCGCGTGACGAGACCAAGCGTGGCGGCGCGCGACATGGTCGGGCGCGGCTCGTTGGAGCCGGTGGTGGAGCCGCGTCGGCCACCCTCTCTCCTCTCACTTCTCCTCTGCGTTGCGCGTAGAGTTTGTCCCAGGTGGGACGCCCTTGTTCGTCGAAAGCACGGGGACGGGTTGCCCCGAATCTTTGCCGAATATCCCGACCAGGGATGACTCCGCCCCTGGCTGCCTCTCAACCAAACACGGGACTAGGTGGGACATCCCACCTGGGACGATCCCGTCCTCGCAACCAAACGCTACCTAGGAGAGAGTTGCTTGTTGCCGGATTCAGCACTCAATTCAACATGCTTGCCTATGTAGTTGTAAGACTATGGTGAGATTTTTTAAAAAAAATACACTGATGGGTTGATACCTCAAGATGTGGTGGGCTCTGGGCTTAAGGAAAGGATTAAAAATGCCTATATAAAACACTAAATGGTTATTGTTGTATGGAGTGGTTCTTGTACTGCTGATCTATTAGGTCAGTCTTAATGAAAGTTTTATCTGGATCTCATTTGCATTTAATATTATGATATGTCAGTAGATTGAAATTTAATGGCTTGATAGATTAATTATGAAGTGAGAGATAAAGTGAGTTTCATTTAGATGAAACTTTTTTACGATTACCAACTTTCTATATATCATGAAATTAAATGTCTATAAAATCATAGAACGAAAGTTTATACAAAAGTGAGCGTTCTATTTATGTTTTATTGTATTCTATATGACATGCTAATCTTTAATAATAACGTCATGGAACTCTTTATTATTGGTCTTGCGTTAAGCCAGTATATGGAGCCATGGACGAAGTCCACTGACCGTCAGTTGTAATGTGAACGGACCAGCGAAGAACCCAATCAATGAACGGCCAACGGCCCCATCGATCCGTTGGGCGTTAATGCGATGCAGCACATCGTCTTTCTATCTTGCCGTACTGTCGAGGGCTCGAGGCGAGAGGGATTGGACTGACGGTGACAGTACTAATGAAAATCAGCGCCCTGCGCACCTGTTTCTCCGTGTTCACACCTCGGATCACATCGAACTTGACAGTTGTGACCCGCCGGTCGCAGCCACACTGCCACAGTACCTTGCTCTTTTCACGGTTTCAAACCACCGATTAACGTGGAAGTATGAGTGGCTAGCGCCCGCGCGTGAGACATTTGATTCACGTGTAGACTTGGCACCAAAACATGATTTTACTCTCTGTCGTGTCGGAGATATTTAAAGCCCAAACTTTAGTCTCTGAGATGATGTAGGGTTTTTTTTTCAATCATTATTAGCAAAATTAATGGCAAATATCCCTCTTTTTTACAATTTACTTATTTAAATTAGATGCCGATTACATCTGTGTTTTCTTATTTTGGAACGAAGAAGTTCATTTTTTTATAACCAAACTATCATCGGAGTTTGTTGATTCTGGCTATGAAACTTCAACACCATAAATTTTGACAATTCAACTATCAAAACCATAGTTTTAACATGGTTTTGGCTTACATGAACGACGCATGACACTGAGATCCGCATGTTAGGCATGTCACGTGAGAGAAGAGGTCATTCACATAGGTAAAACCCACACACATGATCCAGACAGCTTATAACTCACCTTTTAGCTATTTATTGAGATTAGTAAATATGTTGCAATAGAAACGCGAATGACTTCCAGCTTGAAGATCTATTAAAAATGTGTCATGCAATCCGTCTTGGAACTGAACTCCATAATGTGTATTGATGCACACTACTCTAGTTCGTATAGGCATGGTATGCTTATAGATTTTATCTAATAATCATGTCAAGTGTTCCAATTCATTCTAGGATCCGACTCCCCACCATGTCTTGACATGCTGCTCGAACTTGTCGTGCATGGGGAAATTGAAGGATCACGAAAATACTCAATACTTTAATATTAGGGTTAGTTAGAGCCATAACATCGTAAATTCAATCTTTCTCAAAAAGGTCACTACTTCTCACCTTATAGGGTTAGTGCCATTACAACTCTTCCAAAGTATGAAATACGCCATTTTACACCCATGTGATGTCTTTATGCCTACGTACAGGCATACATATCGTTTTGTGTTTTTGTATGGAAGAAATCCCATTAATATTTCCCCTCTCTCCATCTCACCGACAAGCGAACCCATGTGTCATCCCTTTCCTCTCCCTTTCTCTCCCCCTAATCCATCTCTCGACCATAGTAGCAGGAACTGCCGCGTACACAATAGGTGGGAGAGTGTGACACGACGGCATGGCCAGCCTAAGGACGGAGATCCCTGGCGGTATTGCCAGCCAAGGACAGACCGACAGCGTGCGCACGGGATGGTGTGAAAAGGGCGGCTTGCTCGACATCCATAGGAAGAAGAAGCCGAGGAGGAAACAGAGATGCAATAACATGAGAGGATGGTGGGCACCTAGACAAACGGGTGGACTCCATCGTCGCGGCAAGCTCCGCCATCGTTCACACGATCATGTTCCATGACTCAAAAAGAGATGCACATAACTTAAGATGTATGTTGCATGTCGAGCCAGTGGAGAATCTTGTCGCTGCTGTTGTTGTCCTTCTCTAACACCAATGCCAAGATATCACGGACTAGAGGGCCCATTGGTCAAACTAGAACGTTGCTGAGAGTGCACCGTAGCATGGTCAACCCCGTTAGCTTGAGCTCCTCAACGGTGTTGGAGATCACCTTTTTCGTCAGCTTTGGCGCGAAGCAATTGGAGGTGTAGGTACGTAGTCCACCGGTCCTCCCTGCAGATGAAAGTTTGCGACAACTATGAGTGGTGGAGTACAACCAAGGGGTGGTTCGACAGCAGTGTGCGACTAGCATGTGGTGCAGCGACGCACACAACGGCCCGTGACACCACGCAGTGGTAAGCACTACGCGATGGTGTATGGTGCGGCGAGTGGACAGGAGAGCGGCATGGAAGAAAGAGAGCGGGCAAGGGGATGACACATAGGCCCCACATGTAATAAGATTGAGAGGGAGGGGATATCAAGGGTAATTTTGTCCATACAAAAATACAAAGCTATCCATATGTCTGCAAGTGGACCAAAGACGCCGTAGGCGTACAAAGTGGTGTATTGATGAATTGTAATGGCACCAGTCCTATTAGCTGAGAAGTAGTGGTGTTTCTCATAAATTTTGAATTTATAATATCATGGCTCTAATTAGCATTTAATAGTATTAGTATATATCACTATTTTTCGAAAAAAATATAGTTCGTAGTTGAAAACATATCAAAAGCACTTTTCTTCGATACTCATATAAGCGAAGACTAGACAAATAAAATTAAACTAATTCGTGTGTGCGTATCTTCCACTCGTCTGGTACGAGTATACCTGGAAGCGGATTTGGATCATCCACAGTCCAAACGGACGTAACCCATTTTGGATTGAACTGGATGGATGATGTCTGGATGCGGATATCCGCTGCCACAGAACCCAAACCCATCGAATAGGATTGGATACATAGAACTGCATATCCAGAAATCCGTTGGGCATCTCCCCACAGACAACGCGTACGCCGCCAACGTCGCGGTCGCGGCCAGCGCCGCCTCCTACGCCCGCCTCTCGCGTGCCATCTGCTCCCTCTCGCGACGTCTGCTCCCTTGCGCCGGCTGCTCCCTCTCGCGCCGGCTGCTCCCTCGCGCGCTACCGCACGCCGCGGCCTCCCCGCCGCCGCTCTCGCTTTCTACCTCTGCCTCCTCGCCGCCGGCCTCCCCTTCTCCAGCTTCGCCTTCACCTCCGTCGCCAAAGCCGGGACCTATCCGCGCTCTGCGCCGGCATGGGCATCCACGCCCACGCCGTCCTCCTCGGGTTCAGCTCCGACCGTCGTCGGCCTCTCATTCTCCAGCTTCACCTTCATCTCCATCGCCAAGGCATGCGCGGACCTGCCTACGCTCCGCGCCGGCATGGGCAAGCTGTTCGACGCGCAAGCTGTTGGATGAATGGATTGGACTGGATTCACTCGGTGTTGGACTGGATTGGGTTGGATGTTTCCAAAATGCATTTGGTTTGGATTGGACAGGTGCTTTCCTCAACGTGGATCTCTTTTGGATTGGTTTTAATGGACGTGGATCTTAATCCACTTCCATGTTTAGGTACGAGGCGATTAACTGTCAATATTCTCCACGCTGCAATCCTTAATGGAGATGATGGCATGCCACATGTATAGGTGAAAAAACGCTTGATTTATTGTTTAACGATTTGGCATGTTTGGTTATTATAGATAGGCATATTGAACCACAAGTTAACACCAATAGAATGACTTGGGCATAAAAATAAAAAAAAACACAACAATGACTTAGTGTTAGTGGTGAAATTTCATCTATCCTGCTAAAAGATAGAATAGAATGAAAACAGACAGACCGAAATAGAAAAGAATGAATAAAAGAACAAATGCGAAAATAGAACGGAACGGAACGAACAAATGATAATATTAATAGAGAGATTTTGGTTATTAATACTGAAAATTCAAATGAAGAAACTTTTCGTGCTTTAATATCAGGGAGAAATCTATAAAGATCTTTAAATTAAATTAATTAAATAAAGATCTTTAAACGTGGAGAGCATCCATAGTGTCCGTCTCACTATAGCACTGTTCATCTACCGTGCTCTTTTCCCTGCATTGATTTTCCCTCACGGTTCACAGTTACATGTTGCAATCAGTTTTTTCTTTCTTGGTTACCTGAATTAACACCGTTGCTTAAACCGTATATATACATTACTTCTGTTTTAGCGGAACGATTAAATAAACAGCCGGAGCGGACTCGCGGGCTCAGGCATCTCACCCCTACAACACTACCCCTTAATCCCCCAGATTTCTCGGAGCCTCCGGGACGAGGCGCGTCCGTCCATGGGGGCCAAGGCGGCGCACCGGCGTGGGGTGCTGGACCTGGAGGCGCAGTTCGCCTTCTTCCGGTCGCAGCACCGGCACCCCGTGAACGCGGCGGCGCACGCGCTGCTCACCTGGCCCATCCTCTTCACCAACCTCCTCATCCTCCACTTCTTGCCGCTGCCGCTGCCCGTGCCCCCCGCGCTGGTCCTCACGCTCGCCTACGCCGCCGCCTACCTCGCCGTCGACCGCCGAGCCGGCGCGCTCGCGGGGGTGCTCTTCCTCGCCGCGTGGGCCGCCAGCCGCGCCCTCGCGGCCCGCCTCGGCTTCGCTCTCTCCTGGAAGCTCGTCCTCGCCACGCAGGTCTTCTGCTGGACCTGGCAGTTCCTTGGCCACGGCCTCTTCGAGGCAAGTGCCACAGATTCGAATTGATCCCTCCACCCAAGCCCTTGGGAATCTAATCGACGGCTCCACTGCTGATCTCTTGTTCAATTTTGCAGAAGAAGGGGCCGACTGTGAGTGATCTTCCCGAGGTGTTCTTAATGGAGCCGTTCCTCATCTTCCTGCAGGTAACCACAGGCACAGCTCACAAACGTGTGCTAATTCTTCAGTCATCTCCACACATGGAACTGAAATTGCGTTGACCGGTGCTAATTCTTCACCCTCTGCCGGTTCTTTGTGTGCACAGATACTGAACAAGCTGTTCGGCTATGAGCCGTACCCTGAGTTCTGCAAGAACGTGGACAGGAAGATGGAAGCTGATCTCAGGGAGAGCAGAGAGCTCAAGCAGAGGAAGACAACCTGATTGATTGGGAATTTGGGAGTAATCATCCGGAGCGGTGCGCGAAATTTGTACCATCTGTACATGTAGCATATTGCCTACCATTTGTGTTGTTTTATTCAGACATATGTTGTCTGCACACCATTGTTGAGTGTAGTAAACAGCAGTCGTGTGTTGAGTTCAGCTTGAATCCCTACAGATTGGCAGGAAGAAGGTAGAGAGTACTAATTCTCTCCTGGTTTACTGCCCTATAAATTTGCTGGACAAAGATAAACGTATCTTGTTGAAATTAGTATGTTTAAGCTGAACTAGATTTTACATAATCCATCCACATTTGGGTTATCATCAGCGTTAGGAACTTAGGCACTTTCATGATTAATTTAATCTAGAAAGATAGTAGTAAATTCGTGACAATAAGGCTCCGTTTGGCACGGCTCCACTTCACCCATGAAACCCTTTTTTGGGGCTTCAGCTCCATGAACAACTCTATGAGTGGAGCTGTAGCCGTTTTGATAAATTGTTTGGCAAAACAGCTTCACATATAGTTTTTCTTAAAATATGCTCTCAGAGAACGTCATGTAGAATGAGGTGAAGCCGAGAGAAGCCACTATTTTTGGCTCCTTCCCACCCCAAAGCTTTGTGAGAGCACGTTTTTAGGGGCTTCATCGATGGAGCCGTTTTATTTTACCCCATTTGGTAGAAAACGGCTCCCAGCGGCTCCTGAAGTCGCTAGAGAAGCCCTGCCAAACGGGACCTAAATATGTGCACATATGAACTACTAGTGGCAACTACGATGAACATGATAATCATGTTTAAGAGTATGAAAACCTTACTGAAGATAAACAGTAAGATTAGAAGTATACCCAGCGGAGGGACCTATGCTCAAGGCACCGGCGGCTCCACGCGTACTAGTCGACATAGTGCGTTGTTCGATGTCACGGACCACAGTCGATGCAGGACGATGTTCACAGTGTACTACCTCGAACGTCTGCCGGAATGTAGACGATTCGAGAAAGAAAAAAAAGACGTCGGCAAACACCAGGAAGAAGCAAGCAGTCGCGGAGACGCTTCCTAAAAACCTGATCGCCCGCACACCCAAGCAGGTGTCGCTATGCGGATGGCGGTTCCGGAGGCCTGCTCTCCCAACACTCTGTGCCCGTAGAGGATTGGGACGGGAAAACACGGGAGCAACTCAACAGAAGAACAATGGTGCTATATGTTGTATCTCATCCGCGCAGCTGAAGACAAGCGCTCCTTTTATAAGCATGGAATGTAGAAGATGAAGTGTAGAGGATGAACCTGGACGTCATGAAGCATCATGAAGCGTCCATCAATTACTAATAACCTCTGCAATAAATATGGGGTTACTAGTTACTGCAACCATAACCATATGAGTTACTAGTAACCACAACCATAACTATAGTCGTTACAAGTTCAGCCATCGAGTACATTTAATCCATCATTTTATTGCACCTAGCATCTAATATGGTCTTAGAATTTATTTGATTTAATTATTAAATAAAATATGGGTCTACCCACGTTAAATCTGACAATCAGTTCCATATCTGTTCTCCTAGCTAATCTCTTATGGTCCAAGATACCAGGCATCACAAATTTAAGATTCTTAATTTTTTTTTATCCAAGATGCCAGCAAACACAGAACGCCAGAAATCCTTCGGTCGAGAAGATCGCAAAATCGACGCATCTGTGGCGTAGCAGATGTTCTGTTTGCATAGGTGCGTTCGGCTGCACTTGCTGTCGCTGCGGCTTCTGCTGTAGCTGCATCACCATAACTATGGATTACTTTAGCATGAACCGGAGAAACTGCATCTGCAGCCGGTAGAAGTTGTAGTGTAACACACTGAAGCAGATAGCCAAATGAATGTTAGTGAATAGTGATAATATGGTTTGCTAACGTAAATAATTTGAATGAAGATATAATTGTATATGCTAATAGAGTGTTATAATCATGTGACGTGAACAATTTACATGGTGAGATACAGTGCTAGTAGAGATTAAAATATAAGATATATAGATAATATATTTTAAAAAAAAAAATTGCAAAATTTAGGTGTTACTTTTAAAATTTGAAAAACAGCCTCTGAATCCTCCTGAATGTGCTTGCTGCAGATCTTTTTACTGTGCTGCGAACTTTAGAACTGTAAACTACTAGTAGGTACTTAGCGACGTGCTGTTGCACTTGCTGCAGCAGCCGCGCCCACAGCAGTCTGTATCGTGCACATCAGAACCAGACGAGACGACCCCAAACTACGCCAATCGCACTAGTAGAAGGCCACGACCTGAGGTGTGGAAGAGGAGGAAGAAGAACGTGGAAGAGGCTGACATCTAGGCCTCACTTGTCGGCTATCTAATTACAAATGAAAAATGATAGGGAGATACTAACGCGCTCGACAAAAACGCGCATCGCCTCCTCTGTCACGCGCGTCCATGGAAAACACCGAGCCCGCCGCTCCTTCCCATTGACCCTCCTCTCTCTGTGAGTTCGGACGCCCGCGCCTCCTCCCTGCACTCGCTATTCCTTCCCCCTGACTCCCTTTTCTCTCTCCGACAGGCGGGACCCGGGAGCTGGAACGAGGACGAGCGCGCCCCATTCGCACGACCCTAGGTGCACCACGCACCCCGACCGTCGGCCCTCGGCACGCCCCATTTGCGGGCCCCGGCCCATCGCGCCCATCCCCTGGCGTCTAGGGCGTGCCCCCATGACTCTCTACCTCTAAAATATGAAACACATAGATGCAACATACGTCTGAAGCAGATGAAACATTTGAAATATGCATTTGAAACATGTGTGTGAAACATATGCAACATCAGATAAACACACTTACAACTTCCAACATGAAAACACTTATTGCAATATAAGACTGAAACAGCTGAAACATTTCGAACATACTCTTGCAACGTATGTATAAAACATATGCAACATCCAGATCAAACGATTGCAACATACGTTTGAAACAGATGAAACATTTTGAACAAACGCTTACAACATGTCTCAAAAACACTTCCGACATGCCTCTAAAACACTTGCACATATACATCATTCTGATCTACTTTTACAACGTCCATACAAAACACTTGAACATACCTCTGAAACATCAGAAATACTTGAAATATACATTTACAACACAGGGGAGGGGCCCGAGGCCGGTCGATTCCACGGCATGTAGGGAACTTCTTCATCTATCTTGTGTTAAAATTTCAGGGCAATAGGCCAAAGGGTTTAGGAGTTATAGCTGTTTTAAGTTAGTCTCCCGAAATACTTATTCTCTGGAATTTTTGACAGCACTGGATAGGTTACCTGTTTTGGTTTGGATAGAGTGTGAATTAGCTTTTTGTGATTAAATAAGAGTTGTAGGCAATTTTATAATCTTTCCATAAAGTCCAAGATCACAGCATTTAGATAAGTAGAACTTTCAGTTATGATGTAAACTTGTAACTGCCATGTGTAGCTTAGACATTGCCTTGTGTTGAAATTTGTAAGTAGATAGAGAAGATATATGCATCTATGAAAGCTCTAGTTTGGTTTTGGTGAATTGATGAAACCCTAAGTGCTAACCTAGTGTATCAAGTGATCATGAGATAGGTAGCACATTCCAAGTGGTGAAGCAAATGAAGATCATGACATGATGATGGTGATGCCATGGTGATGATCAAGTGCTTGGACTTGAAAAGAAGAAAGAGAAAAACAAAAGGCTCAAGGCAAAGGTATAAATGGTAGGAGCCATTTTATTTTGGTAATCGAGACACTGAGTGTGATCACATTTAGGATCGATAGCCGTACTATTAAGAGGGGTGAAACTCGTATCGAAATACGGTTGTCAAAGTGCCACTAGATGCTCTAACTCATTGCATATGCATTTTGGATCTAGTGGAGTGCTAACACCCTTGAAAATATTTGTGAAAATATGCTAACACATGTGCACAAGGTGATACACTTGGTGGTTGGCACATTTGAGCAAGGGTTAGGAACTTCACCGGCGGAGTGTCTGCCTGTAGAGTATGGACAGTCCGACGGTGCCACCGGCGCCCTAGACAGAAAAGACGAAGGTCACTGTGAGTGATCGGACACTGGTCTCGGAAGGACCGGCGCGTCCGGTCAGTAGAAGTAGCAAAGACGCTGGCGTCGGTCTCTGACCGGACGCTGGGTCACTTAGTGACCGGACGCTGAAGGGCTGCGTCCGGTCCTGCTGATGTGGCAGTGCACAGGGGAGTCGCCGAGTGACCGAACGCTGGGTGTGTCCGGTCGAGCATGACCGGACGCGTCCGGTCGCAAAAATTCATCTCTGGATGCTTACTGGAAACGACCGGACGCTGGGGTTCAGCGTCCGGTCACTTTGAGCTACTGCGTCCGGTCGTCACTTGACCGTTGAGATCGGGCGATCAACATTTGAAGAGAGGGGACACATGGCACGCATCGCATGACCGGAGCGTCCGGTCACCCCGTATTGTGCCCAGTGAAGGGGTACAACGGCTCTATTTCGTGGGGGCTTCTATTTAAGCCCCACGGCCGGCTCAAGCTCACTCTCTTAGCCATTTGCATTGACATAGCAACCTTATGAGCTTAGCCAAAGCCCTCCCACTCATCTCCATCATTGATTCATCATCTTTGTGAGATTGAGAGAGAATCCAAGTGCATTGCTTGAGTGTTTGCATCTAGAGGCACTTGGTGTTCGTGTTTCGCTGCGGGATTCACTTGTTACTATTGGTGGTTGCCGCCACCTAGACGGCTTGGAGCAGCGAGGATCGTCAAGCGGAGGTTGGTGAGTGTCTTCGGCTCCGATCGTGGTGATTGTGAGGGGTTCTTGACCTTTCCCCGACGGAGAGCCAAAATAGGGCCAAAAGATACTCTAGTGGATTGCTCGTGGCTTGTGTGATCCTCATCTTGTGTTGGTTGTGCAGCACCCTATTAAGGGTTTGGCGTGTGATGCCAATTAGCGCGTGAACCTCCAAGTGAGTGAATCGCCACAACGAAGAGTAGCTTGTCGGCAAGCAAGTGAACCTCG